TAATCCGCATTCTGCACAACGGACTGACAGCTGTCGTTGAAGGACACACGCGCTGAGGGGAGTACGAAGGCCGTCATCGCTGAACTCCTCCTGAGAATACTACCTGCCTGGCGGTACTCAGTATTGAAGACAGAGGATCAGCATGACAGCCAGGCAACTCAGATGAACAGGTCAAGGCAGCCATGTTCTTTCTCAGGGCACATACTGTAAGGGTCTATTTATAAACAATTTGTAGAGCATTTCACCCTACGATTCTTTCTAAGGGGAATATTCACAGAGGAGCTGAAGGACCCACCTGAAGCTTCGGCTGATCCTTAGCATTATTTTTACTTTTACCTTCTAGAAACTACACTTAATACTGCCTATGACATTGTTACAAGCTGGTAATATCCTTTCATGAGCAGCTTCTGCCAGCTCAGTTCCTATTAACACAAATGCACCCCCAGAACTACATCTTCAAGGATCCCTTTCCCTACACACTGTGGACCAGATAAAACTATTGAATCTGCACCAAATATTTGACACACGGAGAATTAATTATAAGGAATGTGCCAAATAATTACTTGAAGGATATAAACACTACTATGAGATTCGCACACAGACCTCTATCATGTGCCTGAGTACCCTGCAGCACCCGAGAGGGGAAACGAAACACACACACGAGACAGACAACTACATGGACAAAGGCACTTACATTACTGTCTTCTAGAAACTTCAGCGCCTTGGCAATGTTATTCAGCCGGAATATGCGATGAGTTGACGATTTGTACTCGTGGAGCTGACAATACAAACAGGAAAGGCTTTGTTAGGAAGCTGCTCCAGCAACGGATACAAGGTGCAAAGGGGACCTGTATACAGATATCAACCATGATTGTTTTATGAGCCTCGCTGGGTGGATAAATACATAGTAACAAAAGGGCTAAAATACCTGGTGAAGATGCTGCTCCGTGCTCCCTCCAGTACTGATCACTAGTAGTTATCAAATCAGGAAAATTCCTAAATGATCATTCTTTGATCCTCCTGATTAAATATTGTAAAGTCCCCCTCCACCCCTGCACTTATGGATATATACGTGAACCTAGGATGCATACGCAAATGGCAATGGTGCAGAACGTATCAGGTATCCGTGCTAGACTTGTGCGCCGTCAAAAAATTTGTTCAGTTTAGTTGTGTTTCGTAATATCCATTATTTCGTATTTCGTAATTCGTGTCCGAAACTCAATTTGGATTCGTACGAAATACGGATTTTCGTTAGTTTCGGCACATTTTGGTAACTTTACGAACATTCGTTATGATGAAGTTAAAAAGCAAAAATACCTTTGTTAATATATTGGAGTCGATGTGGTAGTTGTTTTTGTATCCGAAATACGAATTCCGTTAACGGATTCCGTATCCGAATTTCGTATTACGGACTTTAAAAAAAAATACCATCAACTCCAATATAAATGTACTTTGCTTTTTACCTTCAATATAGCGAATGTTCGTAACGGAACGAAAATACGTCAACAGAATTTCGTATTTCCTGCCTGTGTATTGTAATGCAACTCTCAGCAGCAGCGGATCCGTATTTCGGATTAAAAAAAAAATCTTGTCATGTTGTTCAACCTCATTTACACTTTTACAGGGGTAATATTAGTTCCTGTTTCAAAGAAATTCGGATCCTAAATTCGTTAACGGAATTTCGTATTTCGGATATAATTCGGAAACTGCCATTCGGATTTCGTATGCTGCCGAATGTACGAATTTCAGGAAAATTCGTACGAATTTCGATTCGTAACTAAACGAATCGCACATGTCTAATCCGTGCACATGCTGGTGTGAGAGAAGTAATACTACGGTCTTCGTGTACAGTTAACTCTGAATTGATGAGCTGTGAAGGTTTTTAAAGCCCAACTCCGGGCACAAAAAAATCACCAGTATTAGAGCAGTCCAACATTCCATTGGCAGAAACAACCCCCACCCCCAGTGGACTTGAATGGGCTGTCAATGCAACACAGTGCACCAAAAAAAAATCCTGCACTTTTTTGCAATCCATGAAAACACAGATTATTCACATCTGTGGATTTTTTTTTAGCTATGTATATATCTGCATGCACTACTTTCAAGAAAGATGCTTTCAATGGCTTTGTGGCAGCTTTAGGATATTTTTTAAAGTGCATTAAGCAACCCAGGTGAGCCCCAACCCCACCAGCAAACCAAAAATTGACTTACCAGGTTCTGCCCTGTTAGGACCTCCAAGAGAGCCATCAGGATTCTACCGTCTTGAATATCCACAAACAAATCTTTAACTTCCATTGGTGGGTTGCGCTATAAAGACACACAAGGGTGACAGAGTATTATTACCGTGCTAACCAATGAACCAACACAGAGGAGGGGACGTGTAACAAGACTGATGATAATATTGCAAAGTGAAGGATAAGGCTGGGTATTGATGTGTAATTGGCCTAAAAAAAAAGGAAAAGAACTTACATTTAGGGCTCATTCACTTCAACATGGACCACTGCGCTATATTAGGGCAGCCTGTTCATTTCAATAGATTGCCCAATGCACCACAACAGATCACAAATCCTGTATGTAGCATTTTTGGTAGCGCAGCATGACACACGTCCGTTGGCAGAGTGCATTGGGGTGACATTCAGAATGAATCCTCAACATCTACCCCCACAACTTCTATAATCCCTCCTCCACACCTACCTCCTAACTCCTATAACCAATCCTCCACACTTACCTCCCAACTCCTATAACCAATCCTCCACACCTACCTCCCAACTCCTATAACCAATCCTCCACACCTACCTCCCAACTCCTATAACCCCTCCTCCACACCTACCTCCCAACTCCTCTAACCAATCCCCCACACCTTCCTCCCAACTCCTCTAACCAATCCTCCACCCCTTCCTCCCAACTCCTCTAACCAATCCTCCACCCCTTCCTCCCAACTCCTCTAACCAATCCTCCACCCCTTCCTCCCAACTCCTCTAACCAATCCTCCACCCCTTCCTCCCAACTCCTCTAACCAATCCTCCACCCCTTCCTCCCAACTCCTCTAACCAATCCTCCACCCCTTCCTCCCAACTCCTCTAACCAATCCTCCACCCCTTCCTCCCAACTCCTCTAACCAATCCTCCACCCCTTCCTCCCAACTCCTCTAACCAATCCTCCACCCCTTCCTCCCAACTCCTCTAACCAATCCTCCACCCCTTCCTCCCAACTCCTCTAACCAATCCTCCACCCCTTCCTCCCAACTCCTCTAACCAATCCTCCACCCCTTCCTCCCAACTCCTCTAACCAATCCTCCACCCCTTCCTCCCAACTCCTCTAACCAATCCTCCACCCCTTCCTCCCAACTCCTCTAACCAATCCTCCACCCCTTCCTCCCAACTCCTCTAACCAATCCTCCACCCCTTCCTCCCAACTCCTCTAACCAATCCTCCACCCCTTCCTCCCAACTCCTCTAACCAATCCTCCACCCCTTCCTCCCAACTCCTCTAACCAATCCTCCACCCCTTCCTCCCAACTCCTCTAACCAATCCTCCACCCCTTCCTCCCAACTCCTCTAACCAATCCTCCACCCCTTCCTCCCAACTCCTCTAACCAATCCTCCACCCCTTCCTCCCAACTCCTCTAACCAATCCTCCACCCCTTCCTCCCAACTCCTCTAACCAATCCTCCACCCCTTCCTCCCAACTCCTCTAACCAATCCTCCACCCCTTCCTCCCAACTCCTCTAACCAATCCTCCACCCCTTCCTCCCAACTCCTCTAACCAATCCTCCACCCCTTCCTCCCAACTCCTCTAACCAATCCTCCACCCCTTCCTCCCAACTCCTCTAACCAATCCTCCACCCCTTCCTCCCAACTCCTCTAACCAATCCTCCACCCCTTCCTCCCAACTCCTCTAACCAATCCTCCACCCCTTCCTCCCAACTCCTCTAACCAATCCTCCACCCCTTCCTCCCAACTCCTCTAACCAATCCTCCACCCCTTCCTCCCAACTCCTCTAACCAATCCTCCACCCCTTCCTCCCAACTCCTCTAACCAATCCTCCACCCCTTCCTCCCAACTCCTCTAACCAATCCTCCACCCCTTCCTCCCAACTCCTCTAACCAATCCTCCACCCCTTCCTCCCAACTCCTCTAACCAATCCTCCACCCCTTCCTCCCAACTCCTCTAACCAATCCTCCACCCCTTCCTCCCAACTCCTCTAACCAATCCTCCACCCCTTCCTCCCAACTCCTCTAACCAATCCTCCACCCCTTCCTCCCAACTCCTCTAACCAATCCTCCACCCCTTCCTCCCAACTCCTCTAACCAATCCTCCACCCCTTCCTCCCAACTCCTCTAACCAATCCTCCACCCCTTCCTCCCAACTCCTCTAACCAATCCTCCACCCCTTCCTCCCAACTCCTCTAACCAATCCTCCACCCCTTCCTCCCAACTCCTCTAACCAATCCTCCACCCCTTCCTCCCAACTCCTCTAACCAATCCTCCACCCCTTCCTCCCAACTCCTCTAACCAATCCTCCACCCCTTCCTCCCAACTCCTCTAACCAATCCTATACACCTACCTCCCAACTCCTATAACCAATCCTCCACACCTATAATTCTATCTGTCCATCCCTGAGTTTTACATAGCCCTGCCAGACAGCAAAACAAATGACCTGAGTTATTTTCTACTGTAGTTAAACAAACAGACAGGTCACTACCCCACCCCCCAGCCTTTGACTGGACAATAAAAGAACAACATCTCATTCCTTTGTTTTCTCTTCCTATCAGCATACTCCATGTCAGGATGTTTGCATGCAGCACACCTGATTGGCCCTTTCTTTCTCCCTCTCCCAGTTTTACTTCTACTGTACAGAGAATTATAAGGGACTGATAGCAAGTCAGGAACTTGCCCTAGTTGAATTTAAAACTACATTTTAATTCATCTATGCACGGCTACATTCATTTGTGTTTTTCCAATATCTGCCTTGAGCTCTGTTTGTTTTAATCTATAAGTAATTCGAATACATAATACTATGATTATATATTTGTAAGAGCCGCATACAGTTATCAGAATTCATTATCTTTGGTGAGAGGGGTCCATAGAGGTCCAGCAGAGAGAATAAAATCTAATTAAAACTCTAATATTTTAAAGTCATATTCCACTCTTTGCAAAATCAATCAATCAATCAATCAATCAATGCACCCATATAACGAAAAGAAAAAAATGCAGTTATAATTTTTTTGCATTGGAGCCTGCAAAGCATTGCAACCATCATTAGTGGATGTCGGATGCAATGCTCAGGCTCCTGCAGACCCAGGTCCATACGGAGGTACGGGCAGGGGCGTCCCGAGGCCGGGTGTCACCTGGAGTGGGTACTAGGTGACACCCCACCGTGACGTAATTGCGCACGACGTCCTGACGCACATGCATAATAATGGCCATCTTGGTGATACCTTCCACCGGCCATCTTGCTGATGGACGCCGGCAGAGAGAGGAAAGGGACGTTCACCCGGCGGGATAAGGTATGCCGCCGGGTCCCCACCTCTCTGGTGCAACTACCGGGCTCTCGGCCCATCGCCGAGTGTCTGACTTTTCAGAGTGGGTCATGTCAGTCATTTTGGTGTCACCTCTCCAATGGTGTCACCCGGGTGTGGGCCGCACTCTCCGCACCCGCCACTGGGTACGGACCTTTGGTTATGGGGGTGGATTAAGTTATTAATGAACTACAAGTGCAGTGATGCCACCACGCTTATGTTCCATTGAGATTTATGACGACTGTACAAACAGCGCTCTCGGATGGTATGTGGGAATTGCCTGGGAAGTATGTGTCCCTGACTAGCCTGCAGTCCTAGAGGACAGGAGGAGTGCCTGTGTTTGTGAAGACCAAAAAGAACAAAAGTGAGGGCGCAGAGCTAAGAAGGGTTATCTGACAAAAACGTCCTTTTTTGTCGTTCCCCTTGCAATGTTCAGCCCAGTCAGATAACCCTTCTGTAAGCACCATGCACGTTCCACGCATGCGCCAAGTACCGCTAGGCAGAAGAATACGCGCATGCGCACAACGACCACTTCCCACAGAAAGACGCGCAGGATGGCGCACAGGAAGTGATGCGCAGATGGAGCGTGTTCTAAGAAAAATGTGCCAAAGGCGCACAGGAAGTGATGCGCAGATGGAGCGTATTCTAAGAAAAATGTGCCAAAGGCGCACAGGAAGTGACATAATTGATTAGTTCACTTCCCTATTTACCAAGCCAGCCTGTCACTTACTTGCTGGATTGTCTTATCAGCTCCTGTCTGTGTTGTGTCTCCTGTTTCCTGTCTTGAATTATTAGATTGCCGTTGCCTGGATTTTGACCCGTTCCTGCCTCCACTACCTGCCTTGACTGCCAACTGCCTTTTTGACCCTGGACTTTTTTAATCATTCTTCTGCCTCTTCCTTCGGTACTCCAACTGACCTCCTGGATTTTGACCTCGGCTTGCCTCGACTTTGAATTCTGGATTACCCTTCTACTTGCACGGTTTCATAACTACTGGCACTCGTGCCACTCGGTGTCTGCCTGGCCTCTGTCACCATCCTCAAAGGCTTTTAGACACGAGGTGCAAGGGAAGCCTCCTCAACCATCCAGTCTCCCAGACCAGGTTCGTAATACCTTCTTAGCTCTGCGCCCTCACTTTTGTTCTTTTTGGTCTATTGAGATTTATGAGTCTCTCTGCCATGCTGACAGATGGGACTTATCTGGCTGTGATCTTTATTGCCTCAGCACAAGTGAGTCCCAAATAACTCTTTAAGCCTTTTATAGCTTCTATAACATCTATTACCAGTGGATGAGTTAACCTAAACAAGCAGGTCTGGTAGAGGTAATGACCCAGGTGACCCCACATTCACCCAAAAGTCATAAACCTGAGTTACAATATCGGGCTCCATTTCATAATTTGGAATTGGGCGATGATAGTGTAAAATAAAGATTCATCCTCCTCCTGCTTTCCATCCCCAGCCCTGCCCTAGGGGCCGGCTCCGTGACACCCCCCTCAAGGGCTGATAAAATATGCTGTCAAGGAACTATTAGAAGGGCTTTTGTTGCAAAACATCCAGAAAAGAACTCGAGTAACATCAAGAAGTCTTAACATCGCAGAAGAGTTCCCCTTTAATCTCTGGACATCATCTGCTGAACGCTTGCTTGAAGCTGTAGCTCGCGGTATACTGAGACGCCGCAGCTGAAGCGGATCCCGACAATTGTGCCGGCATCTGCCCAGCTGCGTGACTGACAGCTGGCACTGCCTATCTAAAGGCAGAGCCAGCTGTACCCGCCCCCTCCCCTGTCTGT